TGTTACGTTTTTATCTTGTTTATTTTCTTTTAAAATGTCTCTCGAAAACGATCCTTCTAAATATTTGATCATGTTAACAAAAGCGAACAGTACAAGGTTAACACCAAGGCCATAGAGTTGATCAGAGATTTCCAAGATCCATGTGACAGAAATTTGAAGTTTCAGTACTAAGAAGACAGGTACAACCTGGTTTTCACAGTGTGACTTCTCGCCTCACCTGTTGAATTGTCAGCTTTTTACTTTCGTAAGTACCCATACGGGCTTGTCTAGTCATCACTTGTTTTTGAATTGTCAGCCTTTTACCCATTTAACACTAAAACACGAAGGAGAACAAAATAAATAAACGGTAAGTTGCTTTAAATTCGAATTAGCACAATTAGTTTCTACCTCCAATATTTCCGCCAGCTACGAGTGAACAAAATAGAGACAAACCTGGGACTTGAATTCAAAAATATGGAATTTTCCTCAAAATTATTTTTTGTATAAATATACGTTATAGATCAGTGTTACTGAAACGATTATTAACGATTGATTTATTTCAATTTTGTTCTGCAAATTTGTGGTTTCTTCCATTGAATTTTACAGAACTAGAGTGAAATCAGATTCCATTTTATGTGTGGCAATCCAAGCAGTGATGATGTTTCATTAGAGGCAGTCGATTAATAGCGAGTTAGCTATTTTATTTTCCGGTCATTTTTTGGCTGCATGCCACAAATTGCCTCAACCAGGCGAAGAACCTTTCTTTTAGCCTCTTAGTGAATAGATTAACCCAGAATAATTTATAATGACGGAAACAATATTTAACCCATAGAGGAAGTATTAGTTAGACACTCAGTCTGTTTGTTGCAGGTTCACCTATTTTCTTCTTGAAATATCTGCAAAAATGTCTACGTTTGCATTGCACTTCAAAAAGTTGTTTCTAAAAAGTTATTTCTTAATAATTTTTCTTTCAACATTGCTCATGCAACTTTGTTTTCTCTTGAAGTACGTCTCCGTTACAGTTTTCAAGCAAAAAAGTAGTAGTAGTAGTAGTAGTAGCAGCAGCAGCAGCAGCAGCAGCAGCAGCAGCAGCAGCAGCAGCAGCAGCAGCAGCAGCAGCAGTAGTAGTAGTAGTAGTAGTTGTAGTTGTAGCAGTGGTAATAGAGAGCTTTAGATTCTAAGACGAGTACGACAACGAGTACGAGATTTTCTCAGTACTAAGTAGTGCTCGCGTGTGAACCAGCGTCATTTTGGCGGGAAAACGTGGTAGCCGTCGTCACTCTACTACGAATTTTAGCGAGAATGTCGAAGTGGGGAAAACGAGTTATCAAATGTACGAATTTTTATCATTTTGCGATCGGGAAAGCGCGTAACCTCCTTCACTAAAGGTAACAGTGCTAACTTTTCTAGTGAAAAATGGTAAAATGAAGCTTTCCGGGGAGTCTATATTTTGAGAATACGCGAAAAAACTTTAAGTCAAATCTCGTACTGGTAGTCGTTCTCGTCCTTGAATCTAAAGGTCTCTA